TGTTTTCCTACTTTAATTTTCTGCATAATGGTGCATGGCACTGCCAGATCCAAGTCAGTGAACAATTTTTCTATCATCATTTTGTTCAACTTTTCATAGAAATCTATTTGCAGGAGCACTCATCACATTTCAAGGTGTGCTTATTGAATATACGTTGCAAACATCTCGGCGCCATAATTCCCCAAGTTATCTTTACTCTAATAGGTAGGCAAAACGCTCTTTTAAACATCTAACCTTTTTACATTTCAATTTATTCTTGTTTTAAGTTCTATTTTCAATATATTAAAGGCCCTTTCATTATTTTTTCTTCTAATAATGAATTATTTCATATCAGTTGAAAAAAAAAAAATTAAAAAAGTTGGGTTTTAATTAAAACTTTAACTTTTTATTAAAAGTTCCTAACTAGGCTTTAATCACAATGGATCTTGTGCAACTTTTTGAAAGAGATTCTTGGCAATACTGCATTTGGTAAAAGTTAATTGTTCTGCTATGACTTTTTTTTCCTTTCAGATTTAATTTTTTAATTTGTTTTGTATAATAGCCATTATAGATTATGATGCTGTCATATGTTTTACAATATAGATATCTAGAAAAATAAAATTTAAAGAATGGTCTTGTAAACTAATCAGAAATCTCTTCTGATTGGATTAAATAATGGCTTTATTTTTGTTTACATTGAGACTCATTATTTCTAAAAAAAAATTTTTCTCAATGTTAATGAAGTTAATTTTTCTTGCTCTACCAAACATAAGCTGTTTATGCAACCAAACATGCAACAGTTGATTACTTGCTCTCTAAGATTAATACATTTATTTTTTAGCTTGTATATATTAGTGTGAGGATACAAAGTTTAAATGCTTATTACTCCATTTGATATTGATTTTCTTTCCCTTAAGCAAGTGCAAAGTCCTTTTAGCATTATTATTACCTGTCAAAAATAAGTTGTTTTTGTATAGATTAGCATTTTTGTCTCAGATTTCTGTAATATTTCTACTCTGAATGTCTTACAAAAATATGCATGGATGCTATATATATATATATATATATATAGAAAATATTTCTGATATTACTTTCTTTTTTTTTTTTTTTTTTTTTTTTTTTACATTTATTTAGACTAATGTTCTCATCTTTTGTTACAATCACAGCTTAGATGAGGACATTATTCCAAGTTTAAATAGTTCATCTCAGAAAATCTGACAAGAATTATTTTCATAGCATCATTTCAAATATGCTTACTGAAGAATTAGGCTTTATACAAAATGTTTTATTTCCTATAAATGCATATAGCATAGCTAAAGCTGGTAAAAATAAATGCATTTGCTGTTTGTATATCCAAAAGGAGAGATGACTTTGATCCTTACACTTAATGTCATTGTTCTGCCCCTTTTATTAGCATTTTTATCATTCCAACATTTTATTGCAAAGATCTTCAGTAACTTCTTGGAAATTTCTGAAAAATATTAAAGTTTCAGAGATTGAGAAGATTGAAAATTCACTGCTTGAATAGAAATTCAAGGTATTCAAACTTTGCGTTTCAATCTTAAATGTATAAATTAATGATGAATTCTTTAACTGTACACTTACACAAGATATCTAAGTAAGAATATTTTTAAAAATGTATTAATACATTTGAAATTTTTAATATTTTTATTCAACTTTGTGAATCTTTGGAATAATTCACTGCATTGTTTTCCTTGTGTAATTCAACTGCTGTGAAATAATTGTGTAGATAACACAATCGGATGTTTCCTTGTTTAGGGAGTTTTTTTTTTTTTTTTTCATCTTTAATGATCACTTTTTCTTTTTCAATATAAATATTATCTTTATTAATTCAATACAAAACTTTACAGTATATCTGGTATATTTTATCTTTATATTTTTTAGTTATTTAGTTTATCAGACTCTTACATATTGAAGTAAGCAAAAATAAATTGAAATGTGAAAAGGTTGATTAAAATGTATTTGATGTAATTGTTTTATTTTCAACAAAATGAACTTGTTTTTTTTTGTTTTGTTTTTTTTTTGTTGTTGTTTTTTTTTTTTTTTTTACCAAGGACATAGTAGTGAGGCATAGCTTAAACTTTTTTGGAATTATAATATTTTGCTAATTAACATGAGATAATCATTTCAGCATTGGTTTGTTAACAAGATCTTTTTCCAGAATGAATGAATAAAAAATCGATAAATTATTTTGATTTTCTCATACCTTAAAAGCACAAGATGGCCTCTCCATTCAATTTTATTTATTTATTTATTTTTTTTTTCTAATATTATCCTCATCAGTATTTTTACAATAGTATTTTGAACATAGTTCTACCACTGGTAGGCTATGAGATTTAATGTCAAAGGAAAAACCCTATTATGAAATCCAGGGTCAGCAGAATAACTGAGAAGATACTGCATATGGCTAATGATCACAAGGTCTATAGTTTGATCCAGGGTGCAGAATAAATGTTTATACAACTTGGATATTACAGATTTTGTAAGTATGATACTGACCATTATAAACATGTTACACATTTCAGAGTGTATTCAGATTGAAATGTAACTTAGCTGTGGTAAAAGAATATATTCATATAGTAAAGAAACACATGTACCAAGTAAATGGTCAGTAAGGGGTAAAAAAAAAATTCCAAAATTGCCTTTTGATTGCAGTAGAAAGTGCCTTATTAATGAAAGATGAATTTTTTGCAATATCAAATAATAATTCAGATAATTTGCCAGTTGCTGTGATATGTAATATCCAACAGTGAATATACTAAACTGGCTGAAATATGATAAAAGCAGTGCAGAAAAGACAAAAACTAAAAGTACCAACAAACCTTCATCTTAGCACTTTGTTCAATGATACTTGTACAGTGTTTAAAAACAAAAACTTGTCTAAAGTTTTTCTGTATGAGAATTCAAAATACTTTTTTTTTTTTTTTTTTTTTTTTTTAATATTCAACAATTCATTTTTATGAATTTTCATTTATTTGCTCATCCTCATGTGAAATCCATAAATATGGTGTTCTATAATATCAAATATACTAATGTCAAATAGTACAGAATTATGAGAGCTGATGACTTTTTGAAGGTTGCTCCTTTGATTGACTTTTCTGTCATCTTTCAGTTATTTCAGTTACATAAAGTCTATAAACATTTTCTTATTGTTCACATGGTTGGTATTCAACAATTTTGTTCACTTCATATCCATATTGGCATATTATCTCACTCGATATTGACTTTTTGATGCTTGTTATGGAAATAAATCTATAACATTAATCTTTGATTTCTAGGAAATATAAAAAAAAATGTATAAGCAGATACATGAAATGAACAAAAGGCACTTGACTGTTATTTAACTGAGTTTATTAAAACTGAGTTCCTATTAAAAGTTGCATAGTATATAATTTTAAAAGTAACACAGGGAATATCTAAAAAGAAAATTTTTGGGACAGATTTTATTTTTAATTTTGTTTTAATTATACAGTGAAAAGTCAATTTACATTGCAAACAAAGAATTAAGTATCTTATTTTTAAAATAGCTACATCAATAAATTAGAAAATATTCTTTTCTGATAGAAATTTAAAAAAAAAATTTTAATCTAAACAAATTTAGTTTATTTTGCAGTCCAGCATAGAAATATTTACAATGTATACCCATTAATGAAAAATTTGATTAGTTTTATTTTCTTAAATAACTTAGAAAATAGTACAATAACTATCAAAATGATTAGCTGTAAATAAACAAATTATTTTGTTTTACATACTAAAATATAACTCAAAAAAATTCTACTAAAAATAAATTTCTTTTCATAAAAGGTAATAGTTTATTCAAATTATTATGATAGAAAAATGAAATGTTGTGTAAAATTAAAACTAAAATAAATCTGTGCTGGTTTAACATAAGTATGTTGATAATTTGTACCTCCCAACCCCAATCTTGGTCTTACAGCAAAAATCCCACTTGGAGCTGCATAGTAGATTAATAAGATTTCATTACTAGTGATAATTAAGTCTGATGCTTATTGCTTTTGGCTACAACTAACCACATTTCAGGGAAAATATTGGAACATGAAATTATCTTTTATGCAAGGAAGTAATGAAAAGTTCAAAGTAATCCTTTGATCCTGAAGAGCCAGTATATCAAAAGGGGATATATACCTGGGTAATCTGTATACTGGTTAGTCATGGACAGGGTGGGAGATCTGTACTTGTCGTCATTCAAAGAGTTAAAAGAAGCATCTTCCTTTGCTCAGTCTTCAACATTTGATGTAGTCACTTTTTAGGCCAATATATTAAATTTTTTGTAATATGTTAAACCGGTTAATTTTTAACCAATTTTAATATCCATGCCAGCATAATGTTAATAATAGTGGGAAATACATTTTTACACTACCACCTGTAATATAGCAGAAAAACTAGGAATAAAATATGACAGACTTACAAAATTTTTTTTTTTTTCTTTTTTTCCTCAATGTTTAAAAATGACTTGTCAGAATGAATACTGGTGCTGTGTGGAAGATCAGATCATCTGACTTGGAAGGAGCTACCTTGCATTCATACCCAACTTCCCCATCCCAACTTTGAAAGCAGTTTAGCTAACAGTTTTTTTTTTTTTTTTTTTTTTTTTTTTTACAAAAGTATAGTATATATAATTGCAAAAGGGGTTTTAGAATGTGAAAGATGATCCACACAGATTTATTATGGCTTTATTTTTTTATTTTATTTTTACTGCTTAAAAGTAAATTGACTTTTTTCCTGTAAATTTAAAAAGTGCTAAACTGAATGCTTTTGAAATGATAGCTGTCTGACATATGCTAAACTATTCTGGGTCTCAAATCTGTAGAAATTTACTATGGTGGTCAATGATTTCTGAAAGAAAGATATTAACTTTCTTTGTTTCTCTGAATATTTTCCAGTCAGCTAATAGTTTAATTTCCAACATGGATTTTTACCCCAAGAAGAATAGTGGTCCTTTTCGCTGTGAAGTTTGTGATGTCACTGTCAATTCAGAGATGCAGCTGGTCCAGCATCGAACAGGAAAGATGCACGTCCGAAAAATGCGAGCTGACATACCATCTGAAGAAACAGGAGGTTGGCTAAAATAAAATTCCAATTTTTGTTTCACTATTGTCAAAGAATTTGAATACAAATCTGAGATACTTTTTTTTTTTTTTTTTTTTTAAGCTTAACATGATGATAATTATTTATTGCAATATATTTACTTTTTTTTTTTCAGATGAAACTTTTTTCTTTTTTTTTTTTTTTTTTTTTTTTTTTTTTTTTTTTTTAGTAAAATAATTTCTAAATATATTTTATAAAGATAAATACACTTAAGGTATTTTTATTTTAAATAATATTGTATGTGAAAGTCATGTTCAACTTCTCTATAGATTTCAGGAGTTGTAATATATGAAACTTGGCTGAATAATAAAATATTGTTTTACACAAGATATGACATTCTGTTATTTTCTTTCCATTAAAAAAAATTTTTTTTTTTTTTATTTTAAAATTGTCTTTAAGCAATTATGGTACTAAGTAAAGTTAATATAATGAAATATGAAAATCATGAGTAACAGATTTGTAAGTATGTGCACAAGATACATCATATTTATAATGGTACAAAAAAAAAACTTTGTGCCATTTATTTATTTTTTATTTTTAAGATTTTACAGCATATTATATTTTTTTTTTTTTTTTTTTTTTTTTTTTTCAGGGCGAGGGGGTATGCCATTCCGTGGCAAAAATGAAGATGATGATGATATGGATCCTATCACACAAGCTGTAGTCAACAATGCCCTTGGTAAATTACCTACCAAGCGAAAAGCACAGCCAGTAAGTTTTTATTCATTCACATATATCGACAAATAGAAAACACTTATCAATCTAACATGTTTCACTTTTATTAAAGTTTCATCAGAGATTGAGAAGAAACAAATTCTGGTATTTTTAGTTTTGTGTTGTTTGATTTTCATTGGTCTGTTATGCATCATGTGTATTATAACCATAAATTATTCTATATGTATGTAAGTTTGTGAAATTTCTAATTTTTCTGTCTTTTTTTTTTCTCAATCTCTGACAAAGCTTTATAAGTGAACGATTTAAAAATAAGAATTTAATTCTTGCATTAGAATTAAAAATTTGCTCCTCCAATTTATCTTCGCATTATAAGTATTTTATATTCTCTTCATTCTTACCTTGACATGGGGAAAAATATTTTCTGTAGCTTCATAAAAGCATCCTCCTGGTACACTTGTTTACAATTTTGTGGGTTTTAGTCTTTTTAAAATATATATGAAAATTAAATAATGAAAAAAAATTCAAATTCTTTTTTTTTAATTTCAATAGAAAAAAAAAGCATAAAAAATTGTTCCAAAAACTCTTACAAGCTTTTAAATACTAATCAATGTGGTTTATTTAAATTTTATTTATTTTAATTTTATAAGGATGAATAACCAATGCTGTCAAATTTTTAGCAAATATCTTTTCTAAATATTTCTCTAATGACTAGATTATATACAAATTATGTAAATACTCCAATAATTTCGTTTATGGTTTAGTTGAAATTTGAGTTGTATCCAACTGAGCAGCTTTGTATGACAAAATTCTTAATTCACTCTACTGCAGGTCACTTGCAATGCATGCAATCTAACGTTCAACTCTGAGCTCCAAGCTGCTCAGCATTACAACGGCAGTCGACATGCCAAGAAGGTGCGGCTGATGGAGGCAGCCAAGCAAATGGAAACTGAAGAAGATCCTGCTGAAACTGATACTAATGGTGAGAAACTACTTCCTTCATCTGGTGGGTATATAAACATTTTTTTTTTCTTTTCTTTGTCCTCCTCCTTATCCTGCCTAATGGATCAGAATGTTAGTTTAAGAGACATTTCTTTTTTTCCTCTGCACTGTCAATGTTGTTTAACTAGTATCTCTAGACCTGCAGTTTAGCTTTTAGAGATCAGTAGCTTTGAAAAAGTTTGTCCAGTTCAAGTCATAAGAATACAATTTGTTTATATTTTAATGTTTAAATGCTTACTTGGAATCTCCTAATTTAAATATTTGAGTGTAGTTAGTCTGTAACTCATTTTAGAAAACGTCCATACTTGATTGAAAATGAATGTGATGATACTAGCTTTGTATTGTTTGTAAGAAAATATATATTATTTTTCAGAATTTTTATTATTTATACTTATAATTTAAAATGATAAATTTAATTTTCCTGCCCTTCCTAAGTCTTTTCCAAACTCATCCCATTTGTTGTCCCAGAACTTCTTGTAAACAGCTGACAGTTTAAAAATACTACCCTATAAAATTATGAATATATTTATTGAAGAAATCGGAATGATAAAAGAATGAATTTAACTATAAAAAAAATTTGAAAATAATTTTGTATGTATAATAGTTAAATCACAACTGCTATTTGAAGGATTTTCATTTCAACAAATATTTACCAAAGTGATGAAACTGAAATGACATTGTAACAGGTCTTATGAGCCTCACGTCATTTTTTTTTTTTTTTTTTTTTTTTTTTTTATGACATAGGTTGACTTTTTTCCTCATACTCACTAATATAACGTTTATAAATATTTGATTTGGTAATCCCCCTACCACCACCAGGTAGGCCAAGAACTATTCAGCAACTCTCTACCATAATGACTAAAATAGGGTGATCTTGTCTTTAAAACTTGTCAAGAATTAATTTCATTTTACTTATAGCTTTATTATATCTAAATTAACAAAGTTTTATGAAAATCAATCTTCAATGGTAATTTGAGAGGATTAAAAAAAAAAAAAAATAGTTTGATATGTATATATATATATATATATATATATATATATATTTAAATATATTGTGTTAAGGACATTAAAGTGGAATTTTGAAGGGTATAGTATTTTTGTGTGCATACTTGAAATAATTATAAACAAAGTCAAATATTTTTCTTGCTATTATACTCTCAAAGTATAATTATTAAACTTTGAAAATACAGGGACAATATTAAGTGGTTATTTTTAGATTAGTGTTAAGAAAAAAGTAAGTTTATCTATGCTATCACAGACTACTATATCATAACCTTTTTATTCCGTTTCCTATTAAAGATCTGCTTTGTGTGCCTATCCTTGCATATTTTTTCATTTACTTTGCATAAATTTTAAAGAGTTGCTTTTGACATTTGTATTTTAGGTTATTGATTATATATTGTACAGTAAAGGTCTCTCAATTACAATATTTAGATTTACTTAAATATAAGCAGTTATCTACCAAAATCAATATTCAAATCCTGTGCTCTTGTCTTGGGTTCAATATAAATTTGAAATAGTACAATTTCAAAATATTGATCATCTACACTATTTGAAATAATGTACCACTTCCATGTTCTATTTCTATAGAAAAATTTGTTTCAAAAACCTTCATGTTTCTTTTATGTCTCAACATATTGGGTATTTCTGATTTAAACCTGTTTGTTTGTTTGTCCGTCCGTCCATTGACTGATTGTAGTTATATTTAGCATCTCAAGATTCATCTCTGAAATACTGGAGTAGAGGGGCTGAATATAACATCAGTCAGTTAAGTGACAAATTTTATATTTGTATAGGGTGTTCCAATAACTTGGACAAATTTTAAATTAAGTTTAAAATCAGCCCAAGTTATTGGGGACCCCCCCCCCTTATTAATCATATTACTACAGGTTCAAAGGTGTGTAGGTAGGATGGATGGCTTTTTTTTTTTTTTTCCTCAAAATCCTATAACTGTCTAATTTAATAATTAATATTATGTCTTTGTAATAATCAACTTAATTGCAAATAAAGTTTACACCTTGCATTTATCCAATTTTTTGGGTGGGTGTAAATCTGGTTATATATTCATTTATCTGGCGAATGCAATTTGAGTGAGGGAATACTAGAGATTGGAATGTTAACAAGCATTTAAATCTCCTTGATGCTATTGCTTACGAGATATGATTGGACAAATCTACAACACCTTATTAAAATACAGTGCTACTTAAATTCCAGGTTCATTCAAGTGCTCTTTGTAAGTGAAATTTTCAAGTCCATTTGAGTGCTTCTAGTCTTTAAAGTGTTAGGACAAGATCAAAATCTAAGAATATCCTCATATACAGTAACTAATCACTAAAACTAGACTTTAATGCTTGAAGTTTTTCAACTGTTAAAAAAATGAATTCATGTAATCTGATGTTCCTTCTCTCAGTATGTGAAATTCACTGCAATATTTTTTTTTACTTTTTTCAGTAAAAATTGTCACTGAAAAGAATTTTACAAAGACAGTATAAAAATTGGTATCAAAAAAAAAAAATTGTGATATTGAAAATTATATGCAGTTAAAATAGGTACCTCCGCGAAATTGCAAAAAAATAGAGCATAGTCTGATGAAAAAGACGCCAAAATTTATGAAAACAAAATTTTATCGTCAAAATGCTTATGTTTTTTATGAAGAGGATAGACCAAATTTTTTTTAATTATTTTTCAAAATTTTTCCATCTTTTTTAGAATATTCTAAATTTTGATTTTAAAAAAACCTTGTTTATCTTTTTTTTTTGCAAAAGGGATACTAAATAACATAGATAATTTTTAGCGCGTTTTTTTGGTATTTATACCTATTAATTTGGAAAATCTTGTAAAAATAATTGTCAGATGTTAATGAAACTTTCAGAAAATATTCACAGATGATCGAAATTATTATGAATGTTTTTTTTTTTTTATTAAAGTCATGGCAGAAATATTTTTTTTATTCTTATTAACACCCCCATATCTAATTTTATGAAAAACTCAAAAAATTCCATACCATCGGTTTTTAGTGATTACAATATTTAAAGCACAAGGCTTTGAAGAATGTAAATCATGTTTTTTTTTTGTTTTGTTTTTTTTTTATGAACCCATTACCTGAAAATCAGCTCTGAATTGTAACATACAAAACTCAATAAAAACAAATATACTATTTAATCTCAAACGTTTTTATTTGTTCGTATGAATATGGACAATAATTTCTGAAAGCAAAAAATTTTTTCAATGAAAATTGAATTTTTAATACAATTATTTCTCATTTCTTTAATTTTAAATCGAAATTTTAACACTTTTTTTCATTAAATTTTTAAAAAAAATTATAAAAAATAAATAACAGCACCATCGACCTTTGTACTTTTTTTCTTAACTCGTCATTGTCTAGGGATTTGAAAATTGTATAATTTGGACCCATCCGATGATCCCCACTAATGAAGAAATGTAATTATGTTTTGATAAAAAGCGCTTAAATGGTTTGTCATTAAAAAGTACGGAAGGTCACGTGGTTTGAGTGTAAGCGTAGATTTCATTATTTATAGTATTTATTATCTCTATAGTGTTACGTGTTGATAATTGTAACAAAGGAAAAAAATGATTTACCACAACACAGAGCTAAATCACAAACAAATATTTAATTTACTAAAACAGAACAAAAACATATACAGGATAAACAATTGTAGCCTACAAAACAGAAAAAACAAAGAGGACATGAAGTGTTACGAGGAAGAAGGAAAGGGAATCATCTTTATCACTTTAGGGCTAGTGAAGTAATCTAAGTGCTATATTTGGAAATCCACAAAGGTGTGTAAATAAATATTAATTTTTAGTTTGGTCAATGAAAATTAGTCAAAATTCTATTTACCAACTTTTGTTCCATGAATTTTCTCTTTGGGTTTTTGGTTGGTCGGCAACTTTTTATAGAGATTTTTTCGGCTGGATATAATAGTCCTTGAATCAAAAGCCGGAGTTTTCCAAAATCCCATTTTTATAGGGGGCTAACACCTAATTTGCATATTTCTAGATTTTCTTGAATATACTAGAATGATCTAGAATCTTCCAAACATTCTATTTCTAATTTCTCTATTTTACAACTACTTCATGAATGAAAACTTTTTGTAATAACAATTAGAACTCAAAGGAATTTTATTATAGAAATGCATCCTCGTAACAATAGATAGTATCAACAAAGTTATGTTTTAAGTTCCAGTAATAATAAAATAACAAAATAAAGGAAATTGGAATGCTAATTTTTTGTTTTTTATTATCTACTAATTACGGGGTAGTACATAAGCTGATTCACGTAAAAAAAAAAAAAAAAAACGTTACGTCACGTATGACCATCTGTATGATAAAGCGTATCTCACGTTAGCTGTCGATATGTGATGACAGGTATCAATCAGCGCTTGAAAAATGACAACACAGTTCAGATCACCTACTTTTTATTTCGAACAATTTTTTTATTCGAAAAAAGTAAGTAAAAGCTTTTTTCAAAATATTTTAAATAATCTTTAAATTTGCTAATTTTAGTCAAATTAATTTTGAAAAACGTAGAAATGTTTTTGGAATAATTATAAACAAGGATTTTAACTTTTTTACAAAATTAGAAAAAAAATGGCTGATAGCTACTTTTTTTAAGTAATTTTGATGACAGAAATAAACAACTTTTTTAAATAAAATTTCGGACCTGATAAGAATGAGTAAAAAAATTTTAAAAATAATCAAAAAATACTTTGGTGTTTCTTCTTAAGAATGATATATATATATTTAAGCCGATAAAAATTTATTACATCGTTTTTTGTTTTTTTTTCATGCTATATTTTTTTTGTAGCAATTTTGTGGAGGTACCTAAGTTAAAAGAATAATGATATCTACATTCCCCCCTCTTTCTTCTCCATAATCTATTTTTAAGAGTCTTATACTACCAAATCACACTTCTCTGCAAGTTCAGTATGGGTTTGCTTATATTTTTTTTGTTTAGTATTAACAATGAGTTGTTTATTTGTCCTATAATTGTACATTAAAATGTTCATTGGTCATTAAACACCCCCCACTTTATCTCAAAATTTCTTTAATTATAATGTCTGTTCTGGTTTTAAATTTATAGGCATGAATTTGAGAAAGATTTAATGTTTGTGTGTCCCATTAAATCAGGTTTATTTAAAAAAAGAAAATGCCTTTTTTTTTTTCTTTTTTTTTTTTCCTTTCTTTCTTTCTTTCTTTCTCACTAGTAGAAAAAAAAAATTGCATGTATTTGATTCTAAAACTCCAAGCATAACTTTTTTTTTTATATACCATTGTTTTGGTTATTTAATTTTGTTGTCTCCAAGCAGAAGGTTCTTGATTCAGTGTTTTACTTTCAGGAGATGACTTAGGGAAGAAACTCGGCTTGTTCTTCTGTGGCTACTGTAACATTTCTGTGAATTCACTGCAACAGTTGGATGCCCATAAAAGTGGTAAGCAATAAAATTAAATTTTTTTTTATGTTGAGAGATATATAAGTAGTGATGAAAAAATGCTCCAACCTTAATGAAAACAATGTTTTATCATTAAAATCGTTATTAAGAGGAAAGATCAAAGTATTTTTCTTTTTGTTTTTAATAAATTTAATTCTTTTCAGAACACTTGAAATTTTAAATCCTTTTTTTTTCTTATTCTGGCACCAGTATTATAAATTAGCATACCAAATTTTAGCGACTATTTTGCAGTGAAAGACATTAATTTGGAAATTCTTGCAAAAATCAAATCATTGCCGGATTTTAATGAAAAGTTCAGGACTTATTGACATATGAATTAAATTATTTTAAAATCTGTCCTGAATCATATAAAATAAGAATGCAATAAAACTAAGACATTATTTAATTAGAGAAGCTTTTAATTGCTTTTATAAATACATATATTTAATGACTTTTTTTTTTTTTTTTTTTTTTTTTTTTCCAAATGAATTTTTACAAATATTTATTTAATTTTTCTATAATTTTAATTAGAATAAAATCTTTTAAAACTTGGTTTCAATGGTACGGCTCTTAAGGAATATTGTTATTAGGTAAAACTATTTACTAATCCTAATGCTTATTACAATCCAATAATCTGAATATTTTGAATTGTTTTTGTGTATCTATAAACATGCTAAATTTTAGAAAGTGTCACCCATATATATTATCAGAAAATAAGTGATAACTATAGTAAATTCTGAGCTAAAATTCATTAAAACACTAGATTACGGAGAATAGAATATTTTATTGAATTTTTAAGATTATGGAGAACTTAAAGGTGCTCATGATATATACTTCAATTTCTTTTTTTTTTTTTTTTTTTTTTTTTACAGTTAAAGTCCCCGTAGAACAACATTAGATAAAAATCTGTCATCGAGCTGTCAACATAAACAAGTTACTGTGAAAAAAAAAAAAGGCATTTCTTTGAAATTTTAAACTTAAAGGAAGCAGTATTAGTTCTAAATTGGCTGATGTTCCTCAGTTTCAGAAAAGTACATAGATATTTCAAAACTCCAATCAATTTAAATTAGTTTTGAAATATTTTGTTTATTGGAATTATTAAATTTAATCTCTCAGCTTGAAATTAAAACTAAAATAAAAGCTTCAAGAAAGATCTTTCATTATTTAAAATTTATTTTAAACGTTAGATACCACGTTTGTGTGCAGATATATATTGTTTGTGTTATGTAAATAAATAATACATTAGATGTATGTTTGATAGATGAGTTGTGTGATAAAAGAAAATTCTGTATTAAACACATTGTTTTTTAAGTTGCATAGACTGTAGTCTCCTGAGCTTAAGCTATTGATTTTTAAACTTGTTCTATATTCTTTGGCTTGCAAAGTATTCATGCCTGCCGTTCTCTTCACATGCAACTTAAAAATTTTCTCTAATATTTCCAGAGTGGGTACATATTGCTTGCTTTGGAAATAAACTGAGCAGTTTGCAGTATGAGTTACATTATTCTTATTTGTAAATTTTTTTTTTTTTTTTTTCTCCTCAACAGGCAGCAAACATCGGGCTAAGGTGCAAAAGGCTGATGGCAAAAGTATTGACGATGTCAAAGATGCGGATATATCCGATGGCAAAGACAGTGATTAATGCCAGACTTTGGTGAGCAGAATGTCATTTTGTTAAAATTCTAGTATTGTTTATTAAAAAATAAGTCTGGTGGGAATACATCACTATTCTAGCAACAGAACTCTAGAATAACATTGTAAAATACAAGAAATTTGTTTAATCATGGAGCATGTCAGTACATGTTAAGACATTAAGCAGAGTTTATTGAAATTGAGAAACTTGGTTCACAAAAATGAACATTTTGATATATCTGCTGTAAGTTATTTGAAAATATAATTTAGATCTTAACTTTTCTATTTGGAATTAAGGGATTTCTTTTTTCTTTTTTTTTAATAATTTATAAAAAAAATCTTAAAAGATCAAGTGGTTGGCAAGAAAGGGCAGGAAAACTGCGATAGATATATTTTATTTATTTATTTATTTATTTTTTTAATTTTTTTGAGTAGGGTCTTGGGTATGGCCTAAAACTACATCTGGCAATGGAGACTTGACTAGGGTACCCAAGCCATTAAATGGAATTATCATGTGATCTTCAACTTTTGAAAATTTTCCAATTATTACCTGCTAAGGTTTTGACTTTATTTAATTCTCCTAAGCACCTTTTTCCCAGAAAGTTAAAAACAAAAAAAAATCCATCTTGCTTACCAGTAACACCCCCCCCTACACACACGTACACACATTTGATTTTCTTTTTTCTTTTTTCTTTTTTAGTTTTATTGCAAAATGCCTGGTGTTGGCACATTGGAGATGGGTGCTGCCTACAACTATGTCTACTAATACTACCACAACCACCACAACATTAAGAGCAGCTTACTTACAGTCTACCAGTGTAGTTATTGTCATACTGTTGAAAAAACACCTGGATTCTTCCATTTTTACTGTTGTCAATTTTGGTATATTTCCACTGTCAGTTCCTGGCTAGCTGGCTGCGAAAAAAGAAAATGAAAGATAAAAACTTAAAAAAAAAAATAAAAGGAGACTGAACCAACTTATGTGACTTGTTCAGAGAGAGATTGTGAGAGAGTGGCAGTGGTGATGGCAGTAGCAGCAACAGCCATGTCTGTCTCTTCATTCCTTCTTCATCCAGTAGAAAAAAATATCATACCACTATGTGACATATACAGGACTGATCTTTCCTTCCTTCCTTTTTCACACACACACACACACACACACACACAAAACACTTAACCATAGATATGTATGCATACATACACAAATTATTATAAAATAATTATGATTGTTTGCTTTCTTTTCCCTTATCTTTCTCTAATTCATTCCTTAACTTTATTATAGATGTTAGCAGGTCTGCCTTTTCTGCTGTAACTGAACACATCTAAGGCACATTTACCTTGTAAACCATAAAAACCGTATAAAAATACACACACGCACACACAGGGCCAACTTTTTTCTTTTTCCAGAAATCCAATTTAATGTTTTAATAATCAATTTTAAATTGTGCTATAAGTTTTTGATATTCATTACTTTATTTTAGAATTTTTTTTTAATTTAGCACACTAAAATTGCTAACTGTAATTTTTACTGGTGGCAAAAATTATTGAAGAGGCAATGTTTGTCCTTTTCCACCCAATTGTTTGTTCTCTATATTGATCCCTTTCTATTTTTCTTGAATATCTGCACTTAGTCTAAAACTTTTTTTTCTTAAGAAGTTGTAGTGGTAGCCTTTTGACTTTTCTTTTGTAACAAAAATTCAATCACATTTAATATACACACATTTGAATATATGAATACAACATGCATGCTTGTTTATTCTGTTCAGCTTTTTTAATTTAATATTGAAGTTTGAATTTTAGTATATAAGTAACCCCCTCCCCCTCAAAAAAAAAGGCTGTATTATAATAAAATAGCTTGCAATACAATTTTTTATTAGTTTTCTTGTCTTTCCAGTTTAAGAAGCTGAAATTCTTGGGCTTTGAAAAGTACCTTGAAGAAACTAATAACAAAATTTGTATTGTCTGTTATTTGAAGAAATGAACAGATACTGACCTGTGTGTGTATCCAATGTCATTGCTAATAACTTTTCTGAGGTTCTGTCTGAATTTCTTTCTTCAAGCAGTATTTGCAACAAACTAGATCTGACACCAGTAGAACTACTTTGTTTTCCAGGTAGTTGAACGCCCACATACACGTACACACAAAGCATGCACACATGCCTACATATATGTATATACTCTACTTTAGAATATATTTTCTAAGACAAATTTCTTCCTGGAATAATCAAAGGGAAACTGGAATCCATTCTGTAATTTGATATTCAAAGAAAAAAAATGTTTTGAATATGTGATAGTATATATCATGTGACACATATCTAGGGTAGGAATCTGAAAGCCTGTTCTGTATATGGTAGCATAAATCTTTTAATTTCTTTTGTGAGAGTTTTTATTTTAATTAACTGTATGCCAGTCCTATTTCTTATCCTGCAAACTTTCTACACCTGAATAACCAAAATTACTATATCAGTTTCCACCTGTTATCAACAGGGAACAAAATCTGCACTTGACTGGGGCACTCTCCCTCCAGTATTTTGTAATTAAAGTAAACATTTTTTACCCGGTAGTCATTGTTCTCACACTAGCTTTTATATTGCTTTTATACTTTTTCTTTACATTGCCTTCCATAAGTCAAAGCTAAACACTTAAGAGATCCAGGTCCTCTTTGTTTCTTTAGTTTTTCATATTCTTCCAAAGTGAGAGTTACATATCCTTGAGACTTGTTTTAACTTTATCAACAGGTGAAAACAATTCCTCCTTTTAGTTATTTTTATTTAGTTTTTTAAGTTTTAATTTTAAATAGAAAATTGAGACACTCTGGCTCATTCTTCCTCAGTATTTGTATATTAACCTAAAAGAATTTGGTTATATTATAAACCTTGCTTTTTAATGTTCAATTTTTATAAGTTATGTCTAACTTTAGTTTTCAAAGAAAAGATAGTTGAAGTTTTATTTGTAGAAATTTAAAGGATTCCCTTGCTATTAACATGACTAATCAAATATTGCAATGGAATGAAATAGTTCATCCAAAACATCTGCCCACCTACCTAAATACCCACCCAACAAAACCTTTTATTTTTTATTTATTTTTATTTATTGCTGTATACATATTGGACTCCTACTTCTTTGATATCCTCTTTAAGATAAACTCCTGCAAATAGCTCGATAAAGAGGGGAAAAAGAAATAAAGAGGAGAAAAAAATCTGTCTACATTTCCTCTCTAAATCTGTATTAGTCCATTTTGCTTTCTACTTCCATTTTTTTGTACTGAATTTTCATTTGTTTGTTATTGTTCCTTAGTAGTAGTAGTAGTAGTAGTAGTAGAAAATTATCATCATTATTATTATTATGCAGGTAGATTACAGGAATGAACATTCTTTTAGATGAAATTGGTTCTGGTGATTCTCTTAATTTTACCAGCACTCATCATTGACTTTCATCTCACCCTGTCCTAATTTCCTATTAATTCAGTCTTTTTAAACGTGTGGAAGAATATTCTAAAATACATAATCTTTCCAGCTGATAATAATAATAATAAAAAAAATAAAAAAAATGAAGACTTCATGTAAATCTGAATATAAAGCTCCTGACTTCAATTTTCCTTATACTGTCAATGAGATGCATATACACAATACCAACTATATCACCAGATATTTAATTTCTGAAATGTGTAAAAGACCTGTTTTCTTTAGTTATGACAATAACTAATCAAGGGGCGCAACTCTAATAGAATGTTTATGAGCTGAATCTATCACTCATGTTTTACTTTTACGTTTCTTTCATTTTTGCCATTCCAGAATCCATATTTAAAAAAAAAAAGTCACCAAGCAAAATTTTAAACTTGAATGAAAAGATATCTTGAAAATGGTGCAGTGAAACTCAAACTTGGGCAGCCAGTACCAATTTGCTACAGTTATTGAGTGTGACTTTATTTTTTTTATTTTTTTTTTTTATTTTTTTTTTTTTTTTTTAACACATCAATTGATGCCATTTTTTTTTCTCAACATATCTTCTTTTCTGTATTCTGACGTTTGACCTGGATCTACAAATTATATATCTTTATTTTTTGTTAGTGTTCTCTTGTTCCTTGCCTTGTTGGTTCATATGTAAACTGTTGTAGGTATTCTCCATCCATATTTTCTTTTTCATTTGTTCATTTAGTATCATTTTTATATATTTAATTATAGAAACTTTTTTCTTCATTTTCCTTTATTTTTTAAGCTATTAAAATATTTTTTCTTTTGTTTAACAAACTAGGCCTTATTTTTTTTATTTTGCAATTTTGTTTTTGTATGATGTCTGATCCCTCCATTTATTTATTTTTTTTTTCATTTTTAATGTTGCAGAAACTGATACAATCATATCTACATTTGTGTACACTTACCCCAACAGAATTATACCTCACCTCCTTAATACAAATGTCGATACTTCAGGTGTGAATGTATCAGTCTAAATATTGCTGGCTTTATATGTTGTTTGTGAAATTTACTCCTACCCTACTAAAGTGTGTGTTTTTTTTTTGTTTTGTTTTTTTTTTTAAGTATCCTTTTTAGACACATTCTATATCTTATAAATGTATATTTGGCTTAATTGTTTATTTTTAGGGTTGTGGGGGACTGTTAATTTGGTTGCTGGCTCTGTTAACCTGCCAACAAACAATCCTCTCTCTACTTTTGATCTTTGTCCCTGGGAAAGAAAAAAGCAAATGAAAGGAAAAACTGTTCTCTTCTCCTTGTACCAGGTTTATATACAAAGCCATACTTTCTGCTTCTAATCCAGAATGATAATCCCCATTCCTTCCCCACCACTCACTTTTCTATTCATCTGTTTTCCTTTCCCTGCTCAATGTTATCCGTTCTTAATCTGATACCCGCCACCAACACTTTTTTTTTTTTTTTTTTTTTTTTCCAAATCCTTCTCTCTTTGGCAGCCATTTGCAGCTAAGCCAGTCTTTTTGAAAAATGCCAATAAATAAAAGCCTATAAATTCAAACCTAACCCTAAAATAAACTTTAAATAAAAACCACCAAACAAACCGACCTTTTTATCCATTCATCATCTCACCTGCCTCTTTATTTTGAACACCTTCCTGTTCTGTCCTCTGCCTATGGTCATACCAGCAATGTAGGAGCTGTGACTTGGCAGTAATAAATAAACCATTATTATACTTATTACTAATACTATTAATAAATTTCTTTTTACTTTTATTTTCTTAATGAGCTCAGCCAATCAGCAGACGATAATGATAATTTCCCCATTCCCTTCCACTTCTCTTCAGTTGTTAATGGGAACATATGTTCAGGAAATCTTTCGTTTTTCCTATATATATATATATTATAAACTATTTCAGTACAAGTTTCATCAAATACATTTGATAATGTTTGTTTTGTCTTTGAAATCTAATATATTTCATATATATATATGAAATATACATGTTTTTTTTTCTTTTTTTTTTTTTTCTTTTTTTCTTAGTAAATGTTTTGGATATGATGATTGGTTGACTTAAGACAGTTTTAACCAATACAACCATGATTTACTTTTTTCATTCCTTCTTGTATATTTCTTTTCTGGAATTGATATGTATTATCTTCAGTCCTCAAATGCCTGGGTCCCTCTCCTAATTCATTGAATCACTGGCTAAAAAGTTCTTGCTTCTGTTTTCCCAGAAATTCCCAAATATAACTTTTAAATTCATTAAAGAATAAAAAAAAAAAAAATAAAAAATAAAAAATAAAAGACATTTCTTTTTCCAAAATATAGGAAGAACTAATATCTTCTTTTCTGATTTTTATCATGTCTCATTTTAAATATGCCTTATTGAAAACTTACAATTTGAGCAATCTTAAGGTTGTAGGAAGTAAATTGGATTTTCATAAGAGTGAAAAATAAGAAAAAAATGTTTGTGTGGGTTTTAT